CTGACACGTCATCACCACCCTGTGGCAGTTCTGACTACTCCTTCAGGCTTCTTCTGAAGCCAACGCAGGTCATGAGCCATGTGGCAGGATGGGGAATTTGAGACATCTTGCATGGAATGAATCGCCTTTAGGAGTCAGGAAGACCAATTTTTCAATATCCTCACACTCAAACCAACTCTGTAAGTATGAGGAAATGAGGACACTTAGCACAAAAGCTAAGCAGGTTGCCCAAGGACACAGCCAAATAAGTGATGGAGCCCAAATTTGAACTTGACTCTAGCTGCCTGGTGGCACTTTGCTACTGGCCAGAGGGACTGTAGTGGCTGTGTTTATGGTTGTGTGGTGACCCCCACGCATGTTAGAACGATCGGTCCCCAGTGTTAAAGCAGCAGATCCCTGCCCTTCCCTCCTCTGCCCTGGCAAAGGACTGCTCACTCTCCCTAGACCCCAAGGGGACCTTAAAGTGTTTTGCTGAGTTAAACAATGAAAGAAAGATTGTCCGTGTGGGAGATCCCAGCCATGACTACATATGATATTGGATGTTATTTATGACAACGTTTGACGATGCCTAGCACATGACCTGGGAGGCGTTTTAGGAATACTTAACTGGAGCATCCGCCGATGGGCTGGGGAACCTGTAGTCTTCTGTATCTTTGAGTGTGGCCTTTTGACTGAATCCAAATCTTATAGAACAAATCTTTTTAATAAAGGGATTTGTTCTGTGAAGTTTGGATTCAACTGAGGGGCTGCACTTGGGGATCTGGAGGGCCACATGTGGCCTTGAGGCTGCAGGCTCCCCACCCCAGCTGGATGCTTGGCATATAGAAAGCTGTCAGGAAATGTTACGTGCTGTTATTACTTATTAAATCTAAAGGTATGTGTCCCAGGGGTAGGTGTGAAGGAATGAACAGGAGGCGGTACGTGTCAGTGCAAAGGTAAGAATGGGTGTGGTAGACAGAGGACTGTACCAGGTACTGCTTTTTGAGCTCAGTTTTCTGTCCTGGTCTAAGACAATTGCACGACACCAGGGGAAGCAAACAGAAGAAAGCATTCTTCTAGCATGAGGCTCTTGCCTATTCCCTTTACCCCTCTACCAACCAGACTCCTCTATACTTACATATTTCCAGCCCAGCGTGGTTTTGCAGTTTTCACAGTAAATGTCTGCAACTGCATGCAGTCCTGTTAGCAACACACGCTCTTCCGCAGGCCCGCAGCCTACATTAACTCTATGTCGGGGACAGAAAGGGAGAGGAGAGTGGGCAGTTAGTCACTTGCATATCAGTCATTCAAGCTGAGCTTCCAGCAAAAATTAACTAGGCAAGGCTGCCCCGAGGGAAGCCAACGCTGAGGAAAGGATGTCTAAAACTGAAATGAATAACCCCCAAAAGGTTGGGACAAAACGGAACTATCTCAGTTGGAATGAATTTGAGATCTGCAAGTTCTGATGCAGTGGGTCTACTAAAACAGTCTTTATGGTGGAGATTCTGCTTAGAATTTAATTTTCTCTAACACATACTTTTCATCTTGTGACTTAAGGGGATAAATTGACAATCACACTGTGAAGTCCGCAGCCATGAGCACAGGTCCTCGAAGCTTACTGAGGACTGGATGACAGCATGGTCTGGTTCTGATCCCGAGGATGCGTGAGCCCCAGGGTTGGATACGCTCTGCTCCTTCACAGAGCACCAGACTCGAGCAGAGCACACGAGATTTCCATTTGTACAGTTCATCTGGCTTGTGTGAGCTTTGCCTTCCTTTCCCAGGGAAGAGGTTGTAAATTCTGTGCCCAGGGATGACTGAGGGCTGTGCATACTGGGCATCTTCGCTAAGTGGGCCTTGCCTCCCTCCTTCGGTTCTCTCCTGCAACGATGTATCTCAGACCTCATTACGAGACCCCATGTTGAGGCTCTCTCAGAAGCTCTTCAGCTCCTTCCCTCTGTGACCACAGCCCTCTGATGTGCCTACTAAGGGTGGTGTAGTGAATATTATTATTTTTAGCCAGGGATGCTACCCAAAAAATTCCCCAAAGGTAACTGACTACTAATTATAGAGAATAACATCCCACGGGGTTTTACTGTTGCAGAGAAGGCAGGATCCATTGTTTAATTAGCATCAAGAGTTGCTTTCTTCCCCATCCCTGAGAAGTCACACTAGGCAATGGAGGTACCATTCAGAGACACTCACACTGAGTTAAAGAGGTACGCCCGTCCTTGACTTCCTTGGAAGGACTGAAACATAAGAAAACAAATCGACAGTTAGATATCCATTTGACCCACCCATTTGGGAAACCAACCCAAATCACAACGATCGTGACCTTCCAGGATCGACATAGCACAAGGGAGCATGGAGCCAGTTAATGGTCCAGCTGGCAGATGGCATGGGGGAGGAGGCGAAGGCAGAATAAACAGAGCTATAAAGCTTGAACTAGCCCACACTTGGACTGTTTTCACCAGCCCAGATGAGAAGATTAAAAAAAAAACCCACCCGAACCCCACTGTATGATTAAAAACTTCTTTCCTCCTGACATTGCTTGATATAATCAATCCACCTGAGATAATGAATCCATATTGGCTTTTCCTGGTCCCACCTGATTTCAGCCATCTGTGCTGGCCACAGCTTCCCCAGGCTGGCTCAGGCGTGGAGACCAGTACTGGCACTTCTGCTTGCCCTCTTGGCCCAGCCCCACTGAAGGCAGTAAGAAGTCCCAATCCAAGAATAAACTATCAACCTCACACTTACCACTTGTCTTGCCTTCTGGTAGATCCTAACTGCCAAGACAGTTACAATCCTCCTAAATGGGAGCCTGGAAGCCCTCCTTTTGAGGTGTAAGCAATTTGATCTCTACATCACAGAAATGCTCATCATGCAGCAATCCCATTTTAAACTCTAGCTTAAATATGAGCTTCTTTCTTCCAGCCAGAGGTTGGTGGGGAACAGGAGAAACAGGAGCCAGAGCCTGTCATGCAATCTGGCATCTACTTCCATTAACATAGGCCTTGTCCATGGTTTCCTCCTCTGGTTACACTGAGATGTCTGCCTGACATGAGCCAGCCGTGTTCTGCATTGCTGCCTGCATTTTTAATGTGGTCTGACAATTGTATCCTGAATTTAACATCCTAGTCTGCCCTGAAAACCACTCTAAAAGCAACAAACAAACAAGGGACTCTCCCATGACCTCTGTTATTCGGTGGCAGAAGAAATCTGTGGGTGACTGGTTAACAGATGACCAGAGGGTAGGAAAGCACCAGACAGTACACAGATCACTACCCCCGAGACGGTCATTTTGCCAGATGAGCTTCAGGGGTCAGTGCCGCTAGCCAGAGAGAAAGGCAAAATTCTCTACTTGTGGAAAGACTGCCTCTAGGGCAGCTGGACTATTGGTTGCCTGCAACAATCAAACACACCAGAAGCCTTCACTCCCAGGTGCAACTGCAAGGAGTCAACAAATGTTCTCCAGCTGCTGCCCAGACCTAAACCAACTCCTTCCTTTTTTGAGTCTTGCAACATCCGTGGGGATCATAGGAGCTCCCAGGCCACAACTGAGCAGTATGAGTGTCAGAACCTTAAAACCTGGAACCTGAAAGTCTATGCTGAGTGTCTGGATGAGACAATGTCCCAGTGACACAGGTCTAGATTTGGACAAACTGTTAGTTCAGTCTTGGAGCACAAAGACACCCCAGGGTTTCTAGGGTAGCAAAAGCTTTAAGATCTGCCTTAACCCTTCCCCTAGCAACTTCTCTCCCCACTTTCCCACTGTGTCCTTTGCTCTAGTCAGGCCGAACTTGCATTTCACCAGCTCTGCCCACTGTTCCCTCTGATGGGGAGACTCTAATCCCAAACCTCTGCTCAGCTCCCCTCTTCCCTAAGGCTTTCCTGACCTCCCCAAAAAGAGGCACCCAATGACATCCATGTTCTGGACCCTTTGTGTTCCCTGTGTTTTCCTTTTTCTTAGCACCTAGAACCCTGGATTTAAATCATCTGTTTATTTATAACTTCCTCTGTAGATTATGAGCTCCCTGAATACATGGGCCATGTCTTTAGTCTGTGAACCCCCAGCACATAGCACCTGAATCTGGCATACAGTAGGCATTTATTATTTTTTCTATGAGTGAATTGTCTATTTTATTTTCTATAAGCAACTTTATTGAAGTATAACTGACAAATAATGAACTGCACAAATTTAAAGTATACTATTGGAGGAATTTTGATACCTCCAAAACCATCACGACAATCAAGATTATGGACTATCCATCATACCCAAACATTTCCTTATTCTCCTCCGAATTCTCCCCTCCTCTCATCCCCTTCCCACTGTGGATCCACAGGCAACCAACCACTGCTTTCTGTCACTATAATTTGTGTTTTCCACAATTTTTTATAAATGAAATGATACAGTGTGTAGTATTTTTTGTGTGGCTTCTTTTACTCAGCATAATTGTTTAAGGATTCATCCATGTTGTTGCATATATTAACAGTCCATTCCCTTTTTGTTGCTGAGTAGTATTCCATTCCAGATATACCACAGTTCATTTCTTTTTGGTTTGATTTTTGATAAGAGATTTGGACTAGTTGACCTCCAAGTCCCCCTTCCAGCTTCAAAATTACATCCTTTTATGATTCCATGGTCCCAAGTTATGGGTAATCGGGACTGTCATCCTCTAAGAACTATTTGCCAAGACCTTCAAGTTCAGAGCTTGGATGAAGGTGTTTATGGGAAAACAAATCCTAAAAGAAAGTAGACAGGAAAATAACATGAAGCAACACAGCTTCACCGATCATGAGAGAATGACCTTGCAGAATGCACTGACTTGTTTCTCCACCATTCATGGATTATCTACTCTCTGCCAGACACAACTGGGAAGGCAGGGGAAGGCGCAAAACTGTGAGATTTTCCAGGGCAGCAGTATCCCCAGAAGGTATGCAAGACAATCCTTTTCTCCAGGGAAGGGGGAAAATACTAGCAATTTCATCTATTTTTTTTTTTTTTGAGACAGAGTCTCACTCTG